TATTGCTAAAAGAACGTAAAAATAAACTCAGTCAGTCAGTCAAGTATTAAACTCAGACATAGCAATTGGTGAGCAGAGTTGCGTCCCTTGGGCATGCCTTGCGTGATGGTTTGAATCCAGGTTTGGCCAGGTTATGTATTTAAGTCCCACAGTGCCATACCCATGCCCATAGGTTTTGATTAGAGCTTCATCCCTTTTGGATTTTCTCTACCTTTCTGTATTCTAACCCGTGAAGGTCTGGGTTAGAATATTGGCCTTCAGTAACCCATACTTGTCGTAAGAGGCAACTAACGAGATCGGGTGGTCAGGCCGACTTGGTTGACACATGTCATCGGTTCCCAATTGCGCAGATCGATGCACATGTTGTTGATTTACAGACTGCCGCCATATAGCTGGAATATTGCTGAGTACGGCGTAAAACTAAACTTATTCACTCACTGTATTCTGATTTTGGCGAGGATACATTTCTGTAGTACCCGTGCCGATGACGACCCTTCACCATTACTAGCCAGACAGGATAATATCCAACCCTGTTACACATTCTGTTTGACAGTCATGACGTCACTGGTCATTGTCTCGATAAATTCACACTGTTAACATGGTCAAAACTTGTCAGATAATTATTTTGTTACTGTTACTCAGATTTATGGAATAACCCATCAAACTGCTGACTTGTATTGTATCAGTGTCTGTTGTTCAGTATTTCTATTAATGTTAATCAATATTCATGATGACTTTCACTGTAGATTCGGTGCAGCCTAACTCAATGTGCTTTTTGAATGATCGGTATTTCAGTATGTTTTCTTGCTACTGTCAAATTACTTGGCATTTTAGAAGTTGGGAAGTACAATATAGAACAAACGTTTCGACAACGGTACAAGAATCTGTATGGAAACATTGCACTCATGAATAAAAGAAGTTGATATCCATAAAGTTTGTTGTATACTGTCAACTTAGGCGAAACATGAAGCAACTTTTGTTGTCATCGCTATTAAAATCTATGCAGTCATTCATTCACAACCAAGAATGACGACTATTTTTATGGATATACAACTTCTTTATATCGATGGGGCGATGTTTCGACATAGATTCTAATGTCGTTGTCAAGCAAGAAAAGTCAAGTTGTCTTCATCTACCCAACTTCTAGAATGCCAATCAAAGAAGTCATTCACAACCAAGGTTTAACTTCTTAAAAATTGAAAAAACCACATTGTGTACGTCACATACCATAAATTGTATAAGAAAGAAAGGATCTCCAACTATCCAATCTAATTTTGGGATTATTATCGTCAGAACCATAGCATTGAGTTTCAGGGCCTTAGTATGTAGAAAATAGGATTTGCATGTACAGGCAGTGTCACTCACTGTCAACTCTCAATATTTGGCAGTACGGTTGATTGGTTGGTTGGTGTTTAACACAGCACTCAGCAATATTCCAGCTATATAGTGGTGGTCTGTAAATAATCGAATCTGGACCAGACAATTGAGTGATCAACATCATGAGCATCGATCTATGCAATTGGGATACGATGTTGTGTCAACCAAATTAGCAAGCCTGACCACCCAATCCTGATGGTCGCCTCTTATGACAAGCATGGGTTACTGAAGATCAATTCTAACACGGATCTTCACGGGTTTCGCAATATATCACAATACAGATATATGTATCCCAGTATATCGCAATACATTTTATTTGCCATTGCACACCCGTATCAGTTACGGTATTCAGTCAAGGACAAGGGAGCACCAGCTGATCCCAAGACACACCAGGAAGAACACTGAAGCACGACACTTTCACAAACGGTTCGAAGTAATATATTCTGAACACGACCCTGTAGTTACGAACATATATTCCTCTTCAATATTCTTGAACCAGGATGCAAGGTTACACCAGTTGAAAAACAGCTTGTGTAAGAATGAAGTTTCCCGAGAGAGTTTACAAGTCATTACTATTCAGTACAAGTCAGTGCCGTTTAACAATCATTGATTCGGAATGAGGATAATCTAGGTTAAAAAATAGACCTAGTCATCAATGTATAGTTACAACATATCAAGTGCAATGGATGGAATATGTTACATAATCTTTTTGATTACATGATCAGGTCAGACCAAGTTTATTTCATTGTTTTACGGGTTTCTGTCCTCAGAAAACCTAAAGGCAGGATGGGAAAAAAATAAAAATAAAATCACCAGTAAACCTAATATTCCTTCTAAATATTCAAGGGCCGGTGGGGTAGCCTAATGGTTAAAGCGTTGGCTCGTCACGCCGAAGACCCAGGTTCGAATCCCCACATGGGCACAATGTGTGAAGCCCATTTCTGGTGTCCCCCGCCGTGATGTTGCTGGAATATTGCTAAAAGCGGCGTAAAACTAAACTAAACTCAGTCAGTCAGTCAGTCTAAATATTCAAAGTATGTTACTTTAGGCAATTTATGAAATGTATATAGGGCAAAAAACAATCTACAAACAATTTTTCTTGTATGTTTACATTTTTGGTCAATAAAAACATTAGGTTTTATTTTTTGAGCGGGAAAATTAATTAATTTTTTTTTCTTATTCTTGAAAAAATATAACAGGCGGATCCGTAAAACATGAAATATAATTGCTCTGGCCTCATGTGTATTAACAACCATGTTTGTTTAATTCAGGTTTCACCTTGATTGAATTGTCTCAGTTTAAGGAATGTCTTTAGGCCAGACCAATTTTATTTCTTGTTTTATGGATCCGCCGGTCTTATTTTTTCAAGAATAATTAAAAGAGAAATTCCCTTTTAAAAAAAATAAAATATTTGGTTTATGTGATATAAGTGAAATACTCTTGAAATCAGTGTGAAACCTAAACTCACTCAACATATTTTTAGTTGATATAAACAAACCAAAAGAGTTAACATGGAAATTCATGTGGGTCTTTGCTTTGACTGGTGATTTTATTTTATTTTTTTTCCCTTCCTTCCTTTAGGTTTTCTGAGGACAAAAATCCGTAAAACAAGAAATAAAATTGGTCTGGCCTTATCAGAAAAAGATTTGATATATGGAGAACAAATAAGCCAATTGTGACTAAGAGAAGATTACAGCTATTTTTAGATGTAGTGTCACAGCAGAGATGAGCGTCTAAAGTCAAATTGTCCTTTGAGGCGTGGCACATCTTACTGTTGTGTTTGTTATATCAAATGTATAAACAGTCAATGAAAGTTTGATACTCCAAGATGTTGAGGCAGACAGGTATTACACTGGAGTAAAAGGTCTGATTTTAATGATATTTAGATTTGATGTGAACTCCAATACAGTATATAGGAAACTACAAACAAAACTGAATCCTTGCCACAAGGCAGTTAATAATCACTTTCAGTTAAGAACTCTTTGAGATCAGCTAATATTCATTTACATTTCAGCCATACATTAAAAACTGTATTTAAGGTAGTTCAAAGATATAAATTTAAGCTGGTAGATTGTGTGCTATGCAGTCTAGGTATTCAAGGTAACCTATAGGGAATCAGTTTCCAGACAACTTTCTCATTCCTTAGTATAAGAATTAATTATTCTGAGAATAAACAGTTGATTGGCAGTTAGATGATGTTTCAGTGGAAATATAAATCAAGTCTGCTCGAGAAAAATTTACCCTTGCGTGATCATCATCATCATCATCATCATTATCATCATCATCATGAGAAATACAATTCTGATATTTAAATGTTCAATTGGCAAGGTAAAATTATGAGGATTCGCAATCTTAATTTCACTTTATTCAATTTACTATTTTGGTTCAAAGTGAAATTCATTGGTCATTTTAATTGCAAACAGACTATACAAAGTAATGAACACCCAATGTGGTGGGACATGCATTAAGTAAACTAGACATTAGTGTACAGTTACAGTGTACAGGGCAATTTAACATATCTACTGTTCTCATGTCTTCCCAAAAATTTCATTTATGATTTTGAAATCTCACCACATATCTACCCTTGGCAGCTGCCAAATTGTTTGATAATATCATAAAACTGGCTTGACTTCAGACTTCTGTATTGTATGTGTGGGAATCCTGTAAAATATTGAAATGTGCAGATGTCCAATATGGTGATGAACTATCAACTTGATTACCCAGGTGGACATACACAATCTGTTGTGGGAATAGTTTCTGTGTTAATTTACAGTCTTATTCATTAGACTTCCTGAAGTAAGGGTTTTACTGTAAATCATGAAATTAATGGCGTCACAAATTTAATGCGAGTGCGAGGGTCTAGTCTAAAATGCGTCACGAAATTAATGAGAGCTCGTGAGTGAGTGAGTTTAGTTTTACGCCGCTTTTAGCAATATTCCAGCAATATCACGGCGGGGGACACCAGAAATGGGCTTAACACATTGTACCCACGTGGGGAATCGAACCCGGGTTTTCGGCGTGACGAGCGAACGCTTTAACCACTAGGCTACCCCACCGCCCCCGAGAGCTCAGGAATCTGTGTTGATGGAATCATGTTTGACCACGTGATTTCTTGCTACTACTTGTCTTATGACAACCTGTATAAACGTAATCCAACTTGAAAGACACAAGTCATCTACCAAGGTACAACAAATTAAGTGGCTGGAGAATGTCCGGTCTGGCTGATGTACTTGAGTGACTTTAAACAATGACCAGTGATTGTAACCAGTGATAATTACATGTGGTTTGAGATACCTGTAATGAGGAAGTGACCTGTAATGGTGTAATGTGTAGTGTCAACAGATTTATGTTTTCTGTCTTTAATTGAGTAGACATGGTCAGACTGAAATGTGTCATTATAAAAATGCGAGAAGAGTACAGACGCATTTTTCGCATTAATAAAATGCTCGCATTAATTTCATGATTTACAGTATTTGAATTAAATGTTAAAAATGTTTTTTAAATAAAAATCAGCTGGTTGTAAAGTTTTAGTTTGAAGTAAAAAATATGATTATTTTTAAGCAAGGCAAGTAACTTGGCAACTCCAAACTGTCTCTAACAAGTTGATGTTTGTTTTATTCCAGGTATCTTTGCATATTTGAACTATTTAGTGCCGAGCACTAGACGTGAGATTCTGGACATCCTCATCAACGGCCTAAAACGTCTGGAATACAGAGGCTACGACTCAGCAGGTCAGTGCCTTGTTTACCTTGCCCCTGTTTCACACGGTTTGTTTGTTTCCTAGTGACATTAAACAGTTGGGAACGACCTGAAGTAGGCCCTGGATGTAATGTGGGTCGTTGTGAGGACATGGTCAAAAGTACATGTGTCTTCCCACTGGTACCTGTAACTGTTGAGAGCATGCATTTGACATCAAATAGAACAACAGGCTATCTTACATTTGTTGTGTTTGATCCCAGTCTTCAGTCCATGCTGTGAACTTTCAATCTTTAAAATGAGTATATATCTTCAGGGTTTTACACAGATTTTAAATATGGGAGTCATGGTAACTCACAATATTTATTTTTGGGAGTCATTTTCAATATTTGGGAGTCTTTCTCAGTATGTAACTGTCTATGTCACACCACCAAATGAAACTACAGCATTGTTCAATTCAAGCAGCCAGGATTACTGTCTCCTCTGAGTTCTCTGGAACAATCTGACAGCTCTGTAAATGTCAAACTATCATCGAACAATATCATTTTTTGCTTATCAAATCAATTTTATTGAACTGAATTGTGAGGGCCACCTATTAAACTTGCGTCAAGCTTGACTTGTAGGATAATATTTTGACTCTGACTAAACTCTTCAAGCCCTCATCTGAAAAAAGCAAAATACAAAATCAACACATCACTGCAGCCGTTAGTTTGGAACTATGGACCCAACACGAAATCTGTGTCTGTGAGGGGTTTTTGGGTAGCTGATTGTTTCGAACACTTTTTCAAATTCTGTACTTTCCAGTACTTGTTATTGTTAGTATAAAGAAATCCAAATCTATAATAATTTTGTCCTACCCTGGTTACTCATGCATAGTGTAGTGCTTTAGGTTCGCAGGTGTCTAGAGCCATTGACCTTCTGAGAGATTATTTGCCTACATTTCAAAGGAAGCTGGGCCCCATAGCTCTATATTTCTGACTCGTGTCCCATAATTGTTGCAAGCGTAGGTACATTGACCCAAATAAGTCTGAAACGTCTACATTTCTATGCTCTTAAAATGAAACTAAGATCCTTTATACATTCTTAACCATTTTTTATGATTTGACCCCAGTGTTGCTATGGTAATGGTGTGCAGGGCTCCAGATAATTTTTCAACATCAGGAGTACGTACTCTTTATGTTTCAATATAGGAGTACTGGAACAACTTAAGAGTACATTTAGAGTACTGAATGGACTTTAATGGAGTATCAGTAATTGTGTGTTTCGTTTTATATATGCACCACAACATGGCTAGTCTTGTGTAAACAGGTCAATATACAATAAAAAAAATAAAAAATCAGATAAATACGTCTTTAAATGATTCTAAGACCTTACACTATTGCTGTGGTACGTATCTACTACGTTTCCTAAATTATTTCCTGTCGTATCGTGCATATATTTTAGCCGTACATATACGCCGATACTGCCTTTATCTGGAGCCCTGGGTGTGTATATATAAGATGTAGGGGATTTCTCTGAAATGACTCCGACATACTGTTGACTGTTAGGACCAAATTATAAATAGTCATCTCTCTGAAAACACAAGTCTCTAGGTTCATGGATGATCCCGCACATTAGCAAACATGCTTTATTCTAAATTTGGAATGTAGGTCAGGTGATGTGATATCTTTTATTTCTTTGCATCATGTAAAGCTTGATGTTACGTGTCAACCATATTCCTTGGACCATTTTTCTTTTTGCTATAACTGAAGTGAACAAAGTTTTCAATATTTGGAGTATGAAATATTTCGAGTTTACAATGTACTTGTTTTACCAAATTGGTCGTTAGCTACCAAAATATCTGTACACACGTTTCAAGAAAGTAACAAATGTCTGAGACAATGCATCAGTCATGCTATGTTGTCCTTCTACACTGACAAGATACATCTGAAGGGGTACTTCAAGCAGTGTAAAACCCTGCGACACTCACTCCTTGAAGTGGCGATATGGCCATGGTATTGGTATCTGTTAGATAGTGTTCTATAATCGTCATGCAATTTATCTAATGAAGTTAGTGTCAGCGTGGATGAAATAATCTGTGACTTGAATGTCTCTCACTGTTCTTCAATGTTTCTGACACTGATGAAAAAAATGCACATCATTTGATTTTTAGGGTGTCACCATGTTACTGTATACTGCAGTATTGTTTTCAATACATGTGTATCTATTGCAATTATATTTTTTGTGTGGTCCGAGGTATTGTTGCAAAATATTTAACAAGTTCCATTTGCATCATTCAGCCTAAAATGTACACAGAAATTTAGTAACAAATGATGGGTCCTTCTGAAACTGATTGTGGAAATGCAAAAGTGATTTTTCTATCATTGTTATCTCCTGTGTCTCCATGACTACAAAATGGTAGCAAATGATCATACTGACTTTGACATTGTAATCATTTCATAATTAGTTGGGGCAGTGGGGTAGCCTAGTGGTTAAAGCATTCGTTCGTCATTCCGAAGACCCAGGTTTGATTCCCCACATGGTTACAATGTGTGAAGCCCATTTCTGGTTTTCCCTGCTGTGATATTGCTGAAAGCATCATAAAACCAAACTCACTCACTCATGATTAGCATGTACAAAATAGGATCTGCATGTGCAATCACTGTCAACCTCTGTCCACCACCGACCCGTGAAGATCCGGGGCCAGAATAGGTCTTCAGCTACCCATGCTTGCCACAAAAGGCGACTATGCTTGTCGTAAGAGGCGACTAACGGGATCGGTTGGCCAGGCTCGCTGACTTGGTTGACACGTCATTGGTTCCCAATTACGCAAATCAATGCTCATGCTGTTGATCACTGGATTGTCTGGTCCAGACTCGATTATTTACAGACCGCCACCATATAGCTGGGATATTACTGAGTGTGGCATAAAACTAAACTCACTCACTCACTCTGTCCACCACCTCGCTCCCAATACATCACAACACAGTAATGCAATGTATTACAATGGATGTTTTTCAAATACACATCACCACTGATCAGGTTAATATGTAAAATTACCAGACCTGGTGACAAAAGCAAGTTTTCCTTATATGACAATGAAATGTCGATTCTTGTGGGCCAGCGTATAATGTATAAATCGATTATCGAGGCACAGCTGGTGAGGATTGTACAGGAAGGCAAGCGTTTCAGTGATATTCAATATATTCTTTACTGATAAACCCCTGCTTAGTAAAACAGATAGTGATTTGCCTGGAAGAGGAAGAGGAATATTTGATTTGACTTACACATTAAAATGGATTTTTACATGATTCTATATTACGGTTTTATTAGGCTGGAATATTTTGGGAGTATATTTATTCGTTATTCCGGGATCAAGAGATTACTGATGAAAATGAATGATCAGCCTTCATAGAAATAGGCCTTCAATGGTCAGGTGAGCACATATTCTGAAATTGAGGGTTATGTGATGATTTTCAAGGTCAAACAATGAAAGGCAACAGATATTTGTATCAAAGTGTTTCATTGATGTGTCTTGGTTCTGTTTATTGTTAGCTAAAGATGGGTTACTATTGGGTGAATGAGTGAGTGAGCGAGTTTAGTTTTACACTGCTTATAGCAATATTCCAGCAATGTCATGGCAGGGGACACAAGAAATCGGCTTCTACCATTGGGGGTTTATAGTGTATCACACTATTTTATGACACACAAGGCTGCAATGTGATATATTTATTGTATATATATGTTGACTGCACATGGAACCATATCACTTATGTTAAGAAAAGATAAGTATCAATCACAGAATATACTGAGCACATAAAAGATATGATGATGAGCAAGAACGAACCTCAATTTACCCATCTATCAGTAATACTGCCCACACTCACTCATTGGCAAACAGGGCGGTGGGGTAGCCTAGTGGTCAAGGCGTTCGCTCGTCACGCCGAAGGCCCGGGTTCGATTCCCCTCATGGGCACAATGTGTGAAGCCCATTTCTGGTGTCCCAAGCCGTGATATTGCTGGTATATTGCTTAAAGCGGCGTAAAAACTAAACTCACTCACTCACTGGCAAACAGGTAGACTAACCACTAGATTCTGAAATGAACATATTTTACAGAAAAAAAGTCCATAGTAAAATATAAAATATAATAAAAAGGAGCGCTGAGACCTTTTTCATTTCCTGAAGCTGTGGAAGTCTAGACTTGCCACATTGTCTAGACTTGCGTGGGCTTTCTTGGATATATTTGCTTCAGTATCTGTATCACAGACTAGGAAACAGGGAGCAGTTGTACAGAGATATCTTAAGAGTTAAGTGCTCCACACCTTGTGAAATGTTTTGCATATCTCTTATGTATTTGGGGTTATCAGTGATGCCAAGATTTATCAACCTGATAAGATTTCATTAAATCGGGGTCATGTGGGTTGATTGTCAGCAACCCTTGATTTTCGTAAGCAGTAAATCTCGTCTGGATTGTTGTAATTCTAACCAGGGTCTTCATAAGTGTCATGATATCGTAAAGAAAACAATATGGGCAGTAACTTGTGTACCTTATCAGAAAGGGAATAGCCTCTGACTTGGATTAGTTCCTTAATTGACTGTTGTTTAAGTCCATTCTAAATGCTCATGGTATGCAATGTTTGGCCTCTGGTAATACCCTGTCGGTAAAGATATATACAGCATTCGGAAAGTACAACATAATTGCTGAATTCTAATCAACATGACCTCTGTCTGATATATATTGAACAGAAAAAAATGCAAAGGCTATAAAAAACAGAATGGCCTTCGGAATTATTATTTACTATATTTAGAAAAACCCTGCTTTTAAGCCCTGGCTTACTGTGGTTGACAACCTATTTAAAACTTTGATGATTCACCTGTTTAACTTCACTCATCTCAGATGTATTTAAGGTACTCATCCAGTTTTACCTGAGGACGTCTGCAGAGTTAAGCCTAGCTATCATGGTCATGCCCTGACATTACTGCAGGGCTTTTCTGAACAGTCTGTGCAGATTAGATCTTTGTTTCAAAAATGAAAAAAACTTGATTCTACACTGG